TGGAAGATGAGTTGCCATGGGAGCCACGTAATCTGCCCCACGGCTGCAGGGACAAAGGTGTTCTTGGTCTCCCCCCTCTTGGTCAGGGAACTGATTTCTCTTGGCATTTCCCTTTGTAGCTGACATATCTGCCCCAGCCCTGGGGGAGCTGCCGGGCCAGTGTGAAGGGGGAGCAGGTCCTGCCGGGCTATGACAGCTATAGCATTGCTGCGTGCAGGTTGCAGTGTGAGAAAGAGGCCGTGGTGCGGAACTGCCAGTGCCGCATGGTGCACATGCCAGGTAAGGCGACCCTTCCCTGCCTCTGAGCACCAGTGATGCTAGCTGTATCTCGGGCAGTGGCTGCTGCGGCCAGCTCCTGGGCTTACTCAAGGAATTCATGTTAGCTTGTGCTTTTAGGGGAACACTGCCTTTGTTTCTGGCCTAGCTCCTGTTGCTTGAATGGAAAAATCCACCGACATTTTCCCCTCTCACTCATTTCTGTACCTGATTATTGTCTCTGTCTTGCATGAAAACACAAGGATGTGAGTAGACATGACAGGGGCAACCCTTTGTATTCTCCATGCCACCCTCCCCCAATTTAGCACCCTCCAGAAAGGGGAGGAACTGATCTCTCACAATCCCCATTTAGTTAAACACATCTGGCAGACAACAGGTTGGGGAGGCACTGTTCTGTCCTTCACCCTTGTGCTGTGCTGTCTCCAGTGCCTTACTTAGGGGCATAAGAACACTTGGCCTGCCCTAAACAGCAGGAGACACTTGTCTATAAATCAGCAGGGTTCAAATTGTCCACAGTCAGCTATGGGACCAGTCTGAGATCAATCTGTTAAACCAGATATAAGACCTCCCCTGTGTCCACAGTCAGGACAGTCATTTGGGCAGCTCTGGAATAGGATTATAACATGGTGTCCCCTCCAAGACACAGGAGGAAATTATTGCAAAATTAATGTGTTAACCTTCATTTGTTAACATTTTCAGTTGTGAATTTAAAAACAAGTTATTCTAATTGTTACATGCCGCTGAAGTTATTTTTGAATGATGATCAATGGGCTCATATAATTACCGACTTTAAAAATTATTTTTAAGGAAATTTGTTGATTTTAATATTTAACTTGTAAATTAGATTTATCAAAATTTCTTGACATTTTAATGTCAACAAAGCTAAGCACTTTTAATTATTCAACATTAGCACTGATTACACAACTGTTTCCACGTTCTGGTCTTCCCATTTCCTCTCTGGGAACATGTAGGATTTGAATGTGCATCCTTTCTGTGCCTGCCCCACAGACAGCTGGTATATCACCTTCATGGCTTCCATCTCTGAGCTTCTCATTACTTGCATTAGACAAAGCTGAACTGAATACACTTCTGTCACAATGAATGTATTCATCTTTAATGCTGCTAAGCATTCTGTTGTATTTTATTTGTTTGTTTGTTTGTTTTGTTTTGTTTTGTTTTATTTTATTTTATTTTATTTTTTATATCCCGCCTATCTGGTTGGTTAAGACCACTCTAGGTGGCTAACAGCATAAAATAAAGCAAATTCATATTCATATGAATACAGTTGAAGAGGGCTGGAGTCATCCATGTAATATTCTTCTCCTGGTGAAAGCTCAGTCCAGCCATGCCCATACCATTGTGCCAAGGCTTATTACCTTATGTTGCTCTTGCTATCTGTCTGAAGGAGGGAGA